TCTTAGGTGGGCCCTAATCTTAGGTCCTAAAGACCTCTAGGCTCTAGATACCATCTTAGAAGTTAGGCATGAATGAATGTCATTAGGTCAAGGGGGGTACAAGGAGAATGTCGAGAGAAATGTTGTACCCCCTAGTGCTAACCCCCATACAGCCTAGATAACCTAAACATGCATGTATATAATTTGACAACTCCCCTTGCTGCTGCGAACTGCTGTGAATTTCCGCCTGTGAAGAATGGATCTGTTCGGTACCCGTGGGTAAATAGGCCTGTCAATAGTGGGCTGATCTGGGCGAGTAGTATTGCGTGGATATGGGCAGTGGGGCGGGTCAGTGCGTCGGCGATATTCGAGGCCCCCTTTTTGTAGGTGACCGTGTAGTGAAAATTGGACTCGAGGAAATCGAGCCAGCGAATCTGTCGTGGGTTGAGGTGGGGCTGTGCGTGGAGGTACTGTAGTGATTTATGGTCTGTCCGTACTGTCACGTCTGCGCCGGTCAAGTAACAGCGCCACACTTTGAACGCATGCACGATCGCGAGCATTTCGCGGTCGTGTATCGGGTAGTTTTTCCGGCCGGATGCAGTTTCCGTGATTCGTATGCGATGAGCTGTAGGCCGTTGCCGAAGTCCTGTAGCAGTACAGCTCCGATGGCGATGTCGCTGGCGTCTGTAACGACTTCGAATGGGCGGTGTGGGTCGGCGATGCGCAGGACGGGTGGTGAACAGAGAACATTTTTCAGGGCAGAGAAGGCAGCATGCTCTTTCTCCCCCCACGTAAAAGCGACCCCCTTTCGCAGCAGATCCGTCAGTGGGGCTGTTAAGCGGGCCATGTCGGGGACGAACCGACGGACGTAATTAACGAACCCTAAAAAACTCTGCAGCTCCGTGATGTTGGTCGGGGGGTGCCAGGCTTTGACCGTGTCCAGCTTCTTCGGGTCAATCTCAACCCCAGCCTCCGAAATAATGTGCCCCAAAAACTCTAGCTTGTCCTGAAAAAACTCGCACTTAGAACCTTTGGTCAGTAACCGATGCTCGACTAAAATCTTAAAAACTGCTTCCAGATCCGCTAAGTGCTGCTGCTTGTCGCGACTGTAGACGAGGATGTCGTCGAGGTAAACTAACACGCATTTATCTAAATGTGGCCGAAACGCCTCGTTCATGGTCATCTGAAATGTCGCTGGTGCGTTGGTCAGCCCGAAAGGCATCACTGTGTACTCGAATGACCCGTACCTAGTCCGGAAAGCTGTTTTGGCGCAGTCCGATGGTTTGACGCTAATCTGATGGTAACCTCCCCGTAAATCTATATTCGAAAAAACACGTGTTGTTCGCAGTTGGTCGATCAGTTCGTCGGCGCGGGGAATGGGGTACCGCGACTTTACTGTTACCCTGTTGAGCGCTCGGTAATCGATGCACATGCGAAACCCTCCGTCTTTTTTTGGCGTGAACAGTATCGGTGCGGCGAACGGTGACGAACTCGGTCGGATAAATTGCTTTTCTAACAGATAATCTAACAGCTTCCTCAGTTCGTCGAGCTCGGGCTGTGTCAGTCTGAACTGGCGCTGTACAGTTGGCTGTGCCCCTGGTTCTAACTCTATCCTATGATCGTGCGTCCGCTGAGGTGGCAGTCCCTCCGGTAAGTCGTCGGGAAAAATTCCCGCGTACCGTTTCAACAGCTCCTGTAGTTCGGGTGGTACTGCTGCTAACATTTTCTGAAAGTCGTTCAGCTGCTCTGCTCCTCCTACTACTGCAATGTCCACTGCGTACACGTCAGCTCCAGCGGCGACTGCGCGTTTCATTGTGATGGCATTGACATGGACCGTTGAAGACTCAGGCGACTGCCAGCGGGGTAGTTCGATCCAGTTACCATTACTTTGCACAGTGCAGCTTCCTGTCGTCCAGTCGATTCGCGGGTTGTAGCGTCGCAGCCAATCACGTCCCAGTAAAATGTCGTGCCCATCCAGTGTCGTCGCGAGCATTTCCTGTGTGAACCCGAAGTTCCCCCCGCAGCGAACTTTTACTCTATCCACCTTCTCCCGTATGGCCAGCGGCGTGCCGTCAACTAAGCGTGCATCGATCTCTGGTAAGCACCGGCTAAGAGTCAGTTGCAGTTTGCGTGCGGTTGCGGTATTAACTAAACTGTGACTTGCTCCTCCGTCGATGAAAATCTTCACTGCTGCTCCCTGTATTTTCCCGTGGACCAGTACTGGGCAATCCGTCGCTGTACCCTCCTTATTCATCCGAGCCCGATCGATGGCGTGAATCGGTACTGTGACTCGGTGAGGGTCGGTGCGGTTGGGCGAGCAGGCAGTCTCGTCAGTAGTTGGCCCAACTTCTACTGACTGCTGGCGTTTCCCTGCCTCTGAGACTCCCTCCCCTGCTCTACTCCGCGGCGCCTCAGCTCCTCTGGGCATTCTGTCTTGCGATGGCCCGGCCTGTTGCAAGCATAGCAGTGCCCTTTAAACGGCGCGGCAGCTGCGTTCGTCACAACGGCGTGTACAGTGGCGTGCTCGATCGGTCCCCGAGGACGATGTCCGTAGTAGGACCCCGGTCTCGGTCGGCGTAGAATGTCGATTTTCTCGGCGAGCGCGAGAATCTCGTTGAAGTTTGAGAGTCCGCGTAGCATGATTTCGTACGAGATGTCCGGCTTCAGCCCTCCAACGTAACGGTCCACCCGCTCCGCTTTGTGCATGTAGCCGACTTGCTCACATAGTGCGAGTAAACCGCTCGTATAGTCTTGAACCGACCTGAGCTGTCGCCAAGTACGCAGCCTCTGACGCGCCAAAATAGAAGCCGCGATCGGCTCAAAACGTGCCCGAAGCCCTACGCACCACGCGTCCCACGTGCTGTACTGGGCGGTTTCGCAGAATGAACTCCAGGTGACGGCTGGACCTGTGGGCCCTTCCTCTTGCGACGGTGGCTCGTAGGCGCATGGCGACGTCACGATGTCTCGCCACCAGTCCATGGCGGGGCCCCTCAGCAGGGAGACGGCATATCGGATCTTCGCTGCGTCGAAGAAGACGTTCATCGTAAAGACCCACGGTTGAACCGTCGGACCTCCACGCTGGCTCGGGTCGAAACAGGGCGGGCGTTGCGGCTTGAGTGTCATTGGTGCCATAATGGCCTGATCGCCACTTGTCGCCGCGAACTCCACGTGCCGACGGGCTTCACGAGGTTCCTGCGGGCTTGGCGCGACCCTGTTTCTTCCCATGCCAGGCATTGGCTGGGCGGCGCTATCACTGGCTGCACCTGAGCGCTGTCCCACGCTGTCATGTTGTGTTGGTGTGCCAGACGAGATGACGATCGGCTCTTCCGATTGTGCAGGTGCATTTGTTGGTGCGTGTGGTGGTGCTGGAGTGTTCTGTTGAGATGAACAAACAGGAATGGTGGAACTAACAGTGAAATGAGTACAAGTACCTAACCCTAGAATTGTGTACCCCCTATAGACTAACCCACTGTAGCCTAAACAAGCACAACATATATAATGTTTGACACACCCCCATAGGCGAAGTGGGGGAGAACTAGGGGTCACAAGACCAGTCAAGTAAAGCAAGGCAAAGCAAGCTCAGGGTGGATCACAAAGTCACCACACATTCCGAGCACAAGTTCAAGGCCACAAGGCCAGTTCACATGTAGGAGTACATATATATATATAAGGCTAGACAAGCAAGAGCAGGTACATATATATGTAACAGTACAACCAAGGTCAAGAGGTGAGCAAGTGAGGCAAGACAGGCACAAGACCCAGCTGGGTACAGAAGCGCTGATGATCACAAGGCGCAAGTGCCTTGGTGAAGACATCAGCAGTGTTGGCCTCAGAGGCCACGTACGTAAGCCGCAACTGACCACGCTGCTGTAGCTCACGAGCAAGGAAGTAGCGGAGAGCAATGTGCTTTGTTCTGTGCTCCAGTCTCTGCTCTCGACACAAGGCCAGCATGGCCTTGTTGTCTACGTACAGGACTGGAGGAGAACGAGGCGGCTCTCCAAGGTCAGTCAGCAGGTAGGTAAGCCAGCGAAGCTCCTGAGCAGCCATGGCCCCTGCGTAGATCTCAGCCTCACAACTGGAGCCGAGAACAGAAGACGAGCGAGTAGCCCGCCACGAAACAGAGCCGGAACCAAGGCTGAAGGTGTAACCCTGTGATGACCGCTGCGTAGCCTGGTCGTCAGCCCAAGAAGCGTCTGCGTGACCAGTGAGGACCACTGGACTCCGCCCTCCAAGCACTAGCCCCATGCCCGACGTACTGCACAAGTAGCGCAACACCCTCTTCGCTGCAGCCATGTGCTCTGGTCGGTGTCTCCCAGGAGCAACATAGCGTGCGAGAATGCTAAGAGGGTATGCAAGGTCAGGTCGCGTGCAGGTCATCAGGTACATGAGGCAGCCAACAAGCTCTGGGTACGGGCCACTCGACTCTACGGACTCATCCGAAGGCAGAGCTGAGAGCGAGTGGCGAGTAGGCAGAGGAGTGGCCTGAGGCGAGGAGTACGTGAAGCCGAAGCGCTGAAGGACCTGCTGCACCATGTGAGACTGAGTCAGGGTGATGGTGCGGCGTGCTCTGTCCCGGGTGATCTGCAAGCCAAGGTAGCTGCGCAGTTCACCCAGGTCTGTGCATGAGTGTCTCTTCTGCAGCTCGGACTTCACGTAGGCGAGTCCAGCAGTGTCAGCTGTGGCAAAGACCAAGTCGTCGATGTACACGAGGATGTAGAACGGCGGCAGAGAGGTGTCGGTGCGTAGAAACAGCGACGGGTCGGCAGTAGAGGGAGCAAACCCAAGAGCCGCAAGCGTAGTCCTCAGTGTGTCGTGCCACTCACGCGGTGCCTGGCGGAGACCGTAGACTGGCCGCCGGAGGCTCCACTGGGTGCCAGGAGGAAAAGTCCCAGTGAAGCCAAGTGGGCGGCGCAGCCAGATCTCCTCGTGCAGGCTGCCCTGCAGGAAAGCAGTGCTGAAGTCAAGAGAGTGTAGCTCGTAGTCACGGTGAGCAGCTACGTGCAGCAGTACCCAAAGAGTGGTCATCTTCGGGGTGGGAAGGTCTGAAAGTAGTCAACTCCCTGCCGCTGACTGAAGCCACGAGCCACGTAACGCGCCTTGAAGACAGGCGGAGAACCCGGCGGCCGCTTCACCCTGAAAATCCACATGCCACTGACGATGTTCGCCCCAGGAGGGGGGACAGCGTCAACGTAGGTGCCTGTGGACTTCCAGGAAGCCATCTCTGCATCCATAGCTGCCTGCCACTGAGAAGAGTAGGGACCCTCTATCGCCTCCGCGTAAGAGCGCGGAGTCGGGATGTCAAGTGCATCCGGGTCTCCCTCAGGGGTAAGCAGTACGGACACGAGATGAGGTGAAGCAGCAGCCAAGCACTGGAACTCCTCCTGCCTGTCCTCAAGGACGTCCGTGCCAAGGGCACACTCACCCCCGACGGACGGAGGACAGACAGACTCAGACTCAGTGACAAGACTAGCAGCGTAGTCTAGACGACAGCGAGAGGCAAAGTCGACGAGCTCAGTAACTAGGGCAGACGCAGCAGTGGACTCAAAGGAAGGGTCAGTGACAACAGTAGCAAGGAGACGCGTGACAGTAGGACTGGCAGCACGAAGAGAGTCCGACTCCGGGTCAGGAAGAGCAGGAAGAGAGGACTCAGGAGGAGAAGGCAAAGGGGCACGCAGAGGAGTAGTGGACGGACGCAGAGACATCCGGTGCGTGCCAGGGACAGGAGGAGGACGCTGACGCGAACCACGACCACTAGTGCGAGCAGCACGGACAGGCGACGCAGGGCGAGACGCAGGCTCACGACGCTCAGCAAGACCTCCAGTAGGACCAGTGTAGGGAGAAGGAGCAGGCAGTGGGGAGGCGGGCTGTAACTGTAACTGTGGCTGGACAGGCTGTGGACACTCGAAGGGAGGAGGAGGACCGGGAGAAGGCGGGAGACCAAGAACCTGCTGAAGGAGCGGAACGAAGTACGGCCGGTGTCGGGCAGCGACTCCAGAACCAGCAGAGACACCAGCACCAGGGTCCTCAGCAACAGCAGCAGCTCCAACTCCCGGGTCCTCAGCACCAGCAGCAGCTCCAACGCCCGACTCCACAGCACCAGCAGCAGCACCAGCGCCAGGGTCCTCAGAACCAGCAGTAGCTCCAACGCCCGGGTCGTCAGTACCAGCAGCAGCTCCAACGCCCGGGTCCTCAGCACCAGCAGCAGCTTCAACGCCCGGGTCCTCAGCACCAGCAGCAGCTCCAACGGCAGCAGCGGGGTCCGCGACACCAGGCGCGCCACTCCGAAGAGTGGAGCGGCGCACGTACCACTCACGGATCCGCTCACGGGAGGGGAGCTCCCGGCTAGGAGGAGAAGCACTAGCACCAGTCCGAGTAGTACGCCTGGCCCCAGAGGTACCTCTCCTGAGGCTGCAGTACTGTAAGTACCACTCACGCAGCTGCTCCGAGGAGAGGGCTCCTCCAGGTGTAGGACTCTCAGGCTCAGGACCTCCAGACGCAGAACCCCCAGACTCCGGACTCTGCGGCTCAGCACCCCCAGGCTCAGCACCCCCAGGCTCAGTACCCCCAAGCTCCGCACCCCCAGGCTCAGCACCCCCAGGCTCAGTACCCCAAAGCTCCGCACCCCTAGGCTCAGCACCCCCAGGCTCCGCACCCCCAGGCTCCGCACCCCCAGGCTCAGCACCCGCAGCAGGACGAGAGTCGACAGCTACCTCAACAGGCTCAACCGGGTCTACCTGAGACACACCTGAGGGAGCGGCACCCTGAGGGGGGAGGGGGTCTACGACAGCAGCACCTGGCGCGAGGAAGAGAGGCGGGGGGGGGGAGCGGGGCAGTGCGGTAGGGGAAGAGGCGGTAGTAGGGGACGGACTCGTCAAAAGTGACGTCCTGAGAGGGCAAGACTCGGCGCGAGGTGGCGTGGTAAAACTGCCAACCAGGCGCGTCCGGGACAAAGCCGAGGAAGACGCAGGGAACAGCACGGGAGGAGAGCTTGTCCGCAGACGTATCGCGGACAAAAGCTCGAGATCCCCAGACCCGGAAACGCGACGCATCGCCAACCTCCCCCGTCCACAGCAGTGTGGGCGAGGTCTCCGGCAAGGAGACACGGGGCCAGAGGTTGAGCTGATGCGCAGCGTACCGGACCGCAAACGGCCACAGAAAGTGGGGGGCAGCCGCATGGATCAAGGAGGTACGGGCGACCTCCATGACCAGGCCAATGCGGCGCTCTGCAACCCCATTCTGCTGTGGAGAGGCCGGAAGCGTGAACGACTGCTCAATGCCGTGCTCAGCACAGTATGCTGCCAAGAGGTCGGAGGAGAACTCACCACCTCTGTCAGAGTGCAAGCGCAGGACAGGAAAGTCCGAGTGAAAACGCTCGCTGAGCTGGAGACGGGCTCTGCGGATCCAAGGGATCAAGACATCAGGGACCTCACCCTTGGTGCGCAAGGGGAAGACCGTGGTGTAGCGCGAGTAGTCGTCAACAACTATCAGGAAGTACCTCTCCTGACCCTGACCACGGACGCGGGCTGGGCCCCACACGTCCATGTGGAGCGTCTGCAAGGGAGCAGTAGTCGGGGGAAACGAGGAGGAGTGAGGAGCGGCGCGCTGCCGCCCCTCGACACAGGGAAGGCAGGGAGGAGCGAGCGAGGGCGGGAGGGGAGGGAGGACCCTGGGAAGACCAGAGACAAGGTACCGGGAGTGCATGGCACGAAGGCGCTGCACAGACGGGTGACCAAGTCGGTGGTGCCAGAGGACAGTCTCGTGCGCCAGAGAGCGACACGAGCAGGGGGCAGAGAGCTGACCTGACGCGGACGCAGACGCAGACGCAGCGACCTGAGGGGACTCAGTGGTCAGTGTGTACAGGTCCGACCCCGGCTGCCGTGTGAAGGTAGCCAAGTGGCGGCCCGTACGAGCACACGTGCAGTGTGTCACGCGCTCGTAGGCAGGGGTGAACTGGTGAACACCCCCGTCCTGGAGTGCACAACCTGCCACCAAGTTCGTAGAGAACGAGGGGAGGTGGAGACCTGACAGTGTGCCCGACGGGACCGCAGGACAGGGAAGGACAGTGGAGGAGGTCGCAATGACCGGACCCCCAGAGGGGTCAGCGAGGGAGACAGCAACTGGCCGAGTAAGCGGCTCAAGGGCAGTGCGGTCACGAAAGAAGCAGCGAGAAGCACCTGAGTCCAGCGTGAAGGTGTGCAGTGCTGCAGTCGACTCAGTACCAGGGGGGGCAGACGTACAAGCACCTAGAGCAGCTGCCTCACCAGCACCTGGGGTAGCAGACACGTGAGTACCTGGAGCGGCAGACGCACTAGTCCTAATGCCCGGGTCGGGCGGCACACACAGGTACTCAGCACCCTCTCCACTAGTAGACATCACATACATAGCAGTTAGAATAGCATCAAAGTCTAGAGCATAGATATCAATCCCCTTCTTCAGGAGATCAACCCAGCGGGGCAGCTCAGTGGCCTGAGGGAACTGAACACGCCAAGCGTCGTTGAGACGAGCGAAGCAGCGCTGTGTGGCGTGCGGTCCCCCACACGGCTGACCAGTGCGGTCACCAGTGCGAATGACGTACGTGCAGCTAAAGCCCCCCCCCCCCCCCCGTGCTGAGAGTACCACTCACGGACCTCCTGGGGCGACGGAGTGTGCTGCTGGCCCTGGCCACCGCCAGCGCCTCCACGACCACCACCGCCGCTGCCACCTCCTCGACCACCCCAACCCCTGCCGCCGCCGCGTCCACTGCCACCCCCACCACCGCCTCCGCCCCTGCCACCTCCCCCGCCGCTGCCGCCACCACCCCCACCGCTGCCACTAGCCCCTCCAGTCGCGCCACCACCCCCACCACCGCCACCGCCCCCACCACCGCCTCCCCCGCTGTCACCGCCACCGCCCTTGCCCCCTTTGCCCTTGCCGCTGCGGCGCCCGCTCAAAGCAGACGCAGTCACGACCTTCTCAGCACCAAGGAGGTTGACAGCAGCAGCAGAGGCGACAGAGGGAAGAAGGGGGGAAGGAGAACACCCCTCAAAGAACGGGGTACGGGGGTCGCCACGAGAGGCACCTACAGCGACTATGCTAGCCTCAGCTGCAAGGAGTTCCTTCTCGAGGAGGGCAATGGTGAGCTCAGTGGGGCAGCGAGCTAGGAAGTGGTCCCTGACTGAGCGCAGAGTGTCAGGGAGGCGGGTGACTAGGTGGTAGAGAGTGAGCCAGAGCGGGGGTGGGTTCTTGGCAAGGAACTCATCAGGCATGGCGGCGCGGAAGCGAGCTTCACTAGTGCGGAGGTGCGTAATGAGGTCAGCGACTGTGTGGAAAGAGGCTAAGTCGGGGAACAGGTAGGGAAGAGAGAGACGGCCTAGTGCGGCAGAGGCCGGTGAGGAGTAGCGGGCAACGACAGCAGTGTACAGTGCCTGTGCAGTCTTGTGCTGCCCAAAGTGCTCGCGCTCATCTATCGGCAGGGAGTTGCGAATAGCGAAGCGAGCGTGGGCGTCACAAGTCTGCCACTGTGAGCGGGTGGTGCTGTCAGCACTAGCAGCAGGAGCAGTAGCATGGCCTAGGGCGTGATCGTACAGTGAGATGTCCTCCTTGGCAGTGAGCTGTAGGAAGAGGTGTAGGTCATCTAGCCAGGTTTCGAACCTCACTGGGCGGCCCTCAGTATCGAAAGCTAGCACAGGAGGGCTAGCCATAGCAGTAGTAGGAGTAACAGTAGAGTAGCAGTAATAGCAGTAGGTGCACCCCAGAAACAGTAGGCAGTGCGACTCAGGTAGGGCGGCTCCGTCCAGTACGGGCGGTGCGGCTCGGTTCAGGTAGGGCGGCGCGGCTCGGTTCGGGCTGGGCGGCTCGGTTCGGGCGGCTCGGTTCGGGCTGGGCGGCTCGGTTCGGGCTGGGCGGCTCGGTTCGTGCGGCTCGTTCTGGCGGGGCCGTTCAGGGCCTCTAGGGGCGAGCGCGGGGCCGTTCGAGGCCTCTAGGGGCGAGCGCGGGGCCGTAAGGGGCCGCTAAAGGCGAGCGCGGGGCCGTTCGGGGCTTGTAAGGGCGAGCGCGAGGCCGTAAGGGGCCGCTAAGGGCGAGCGCGGGGCCGACGGGGGGCCTCTAGGGAGGTGAGCGCGAGGCCGACGGGGCCGTTAGGGGCGATCGCGGGGCCGACGGGGTCGCTAAGGGGCTAGCGCGTGGGCCGACGGGGCCTTAAGGGGCGGCGCGTAGGTCGCTAAGGGGCAGGTCGCGGGGCCTTAGTGGGCCGTGAAGCACGAGGCGCCCTAGGGCGTAGTAGGTAGGTAGGTAGGTAGGTAATGGTGGGCCCTAAAAACGGTCCTAGTGAAGGACCTGCTCTATACCATGTTGAGATGAACAAACAGGAATGGTGGAACTAACAGTGAAATGAGTACAAGTACCTAACCCTAGAATTGTGTACCCCCTATAGACTAACCCATTGTAGCCTAAACAAGCACAACATATATAATGTTTGACATGTTCACCGTAGATTGCTGACGCGCGGAGTCACGTTCCGCCATGAGCGTCGCAATTTCGAGCGCCGATTTTTCAACTTGGCGCACCAGACGGTCGAGTTGCTCCTGCGTCAATGTCGCGAGAGTGAATTCGGCCATGGCGGGGGTGTCGGGCGAGCTCAGCGAGAGCCTCTGTCGTGGCCGTGCGTGCTTACAAGAGAGCACTACGAGCGGCGGTGCTATATCGCTGAGAGACGTCAACCCCCCCCCAAAAATTGAGATAGTAAAGAAGCGAAGGTGTGGGTGCGATCCGAGAAGAGATCGTAGGCTCTGAATACCAAGTGTTACGAGTGCAATTGAGCGAGCGAGCGAGAATTACAATGAACGAAGGCATGAGCGAATAATATATAGCGAAACTACAGTGGTAACGGTAATGCGTGGAAATTGGGGTGCGCGATGGGCCTGGCGCCGAGGTTGGGAAGTGTCGAGGCGGAGGTCCGGAGCGCGGGTTACCAACCGAACCGTGAGGTTGGGTCGCATCGTGAACATTGGCGGGAACAGTGGCGAGGCGAGTGTCGCGAGTGGTAACGGATTACTGTTGGGTGCTATTGGCGGAAACAGTGGTGTACGCGCTGAGCAGGGACGCGAAGTACCGTCATCGCCCGGATATAAGACATATATGTCTTATCTCATACACTAAAAAAAATGCTTGGGTTATCTTGTATTTGGGGAAGTTTTGGGTGTCTTATAAATCTTATAAATGGAAACTTTTTAAAACTACTTAGAAATATTTTCACGCACCTTGAAAAGAGTTTCTCGTTAAGTGTGTGGATGTTGCGAAGGTGCCACTTCGGCAACCATTGTTCAGGACGCCACGTCATCCCGAATACTTGCAACCTCAAATTTGGTAGTATGTGAGTCATGTTAGGAATAGTAATACTTGAATATTACTGTGCACTCCTCACCGCAGCAAAGAGAAGCACGCAGTATCGCGAATGAACGCGAAGCGTCAGACGGTTGGAAACGACTCGAAGCGTCAGACAGTTGGGACGCATCTGAACCGTCGGAGCAGACAGCATCAGGCAGCTGCAGGCAGGATGGCTTCGGCGGGAACAGTTTCGTAACTGTTCGCGCCGCACGGTTGGGAATGTATTTGAATAAGGGAATGTACCCCTTAGAGTACATGGCTAGCTAGGTCGTTTCATCTCCGCTGTACTCATATTTATATTTGCTGTATTTGCATGTTTTATTCATCTCAAGTATTTACATTCACTCTGCTATTGAGGTCAAGGGCCCACCAACATCACTTCTCTGCGTGCGAACCTTCCTGAGTAGATCCTAGGCCACGATCAACTACTGATCGCAACATGGTATGAGAGCAACTCAGGAATCCTTCGCACCGCCATCTCCAAAATCTGCGACATTCGGAAAGTGGCGTCCGGCACACGATCACGTGTAAGAATGGCCGGAGGATCTGGAGGTCAGACGAATCTGACGGCTGAAGCGCAGCCCAACCCGGCTGCGACAAACGAGGAAACGACGACGATTCCTTCCGCCGTCCTCGCACAACTGCTTCAGCGACTCACGAGCCTGGAGCAAGGGCTCCAGACATTGCGGAATGGCGATGCGGGAACTTCTTCCCAACCCACTCAACCGGCCCCAAACGGCCAAAACTCCGCCCCGCAAGGCTTCTCCCTAGATACGAATGGCTCAACCCCCAAGACTCCCTGTCCCAGCGATGAAGCAATTCTCTCCGCGCAATCAAGGTTTTTGAGCATATCAAAAATAAAGACAAGCGTGTGCTTTGACGGCAAAGACTTTTACACATGGAGCTTCGAGCTGGAGCTGCTGCTGCAAAATGCGCATATTTATCATTATTTCGACGGGAGCTACTCGGGACCTGCTGAGGAAACCGACGACGCAAGGACTCGCTATTATAACGAGTCCCTGATGGCGTACGGGATTCTTCTGCGTAACATGTCGCCGGCGGAGCAGCTGAACATTCGTTCATACAAGACATCGGCTGCCCCAGCCCTCGACGCTTGGCGCCACCTGAACGGCGTGTATCTGTCAGAATGTTATTGTTCTCTAGCCTGCAGTGGGGTACTCTATAGCGAGTACAACCCCCTAGGGTTTCCTATATGTATCCTGCTGCTTTCTAGTGAACACCCTCCTTTGCTTATTCTCTTCTTCTTCTCTTGCCTAAACCTCTCTTGCCTAGCTAGGGCTTACCTAGCTATGGCTCCTACTCATGCCTACGATTCTAACATGGTTTCAGAGCACTCACGCTCCTGGCCTGTGGGCCCTACTGCTGCTTCCGCTGCTACTCTGTGTGTTGCACGCCCCGTGGCGTGCGACGGATTTCTCTTCCCGCCGCGCGCTCGGAGCGTGCGGCGGTTTTCTGCCCGCCGTGCGCCCCGAGGCGCGCGGCGGTTTTCTGCCCGCCGTGCGCCCCGGGGCGTGCGGCGGTTCTCTGCCCGCCGTGCGCCCCGAGGCGCGCGGCGGCCTTCTGCCCCGTCGGTCCGCGCGTCGCCCCCGGGGGGCGCTTCGACGGGCGACGGGGACCAGCCCGTCGTCCCCCGTCGCCCGTCCTGGCCAGCGCGGGCTGCGCCAGCCCCGAGCGCGGCCCGTACGGGCTGCGCCCGGCCCGCGCGCGGCCCGTACGGGCTGCGCCAGGCCCGCGCGCGGCCCGTATGGGCTGCGCCAGGCCCGCGCGCGGCTCGGGCCGCCTGCGCGCGGTTCGTCGGGCTGTGCCAGGCCCGTGGGCGGCCCGTTCCTCTCTGTCCCTGAGCTGCTCGCTGTCCCCCGTGCTTCTGACGGTGCCCCACCCCTACTGCTGCCCGTTCTCCTGAATTAGGGTTTGGGGGTGAGGAGTGTGGGGGTGGCGGTTGTGTGTTACTCCCCTTGCTCCTCCTCCTCCCTGGTCTCCCACTGCTGCAGCTGCCG